TTTTTTCGCCCTTTTTGGCCCTTTTTGGAAGTACAGGTTCCTGCACGAGTACGAGGCCAGTACCGCGGAATCCAGCCCGCGCCGCGATAGCGGCAAGGGCTGGATGAACAGCGGTACTGGCCGAGTATGAGTGACTGGAACGTGTTTCCCGTGTGCACCCAAGCCAAATAAAGAGATACATGACAGACACACCTGCATTGTGTTTTGTGATTGTTTTCTGGTACAGTTTTTTGTAGTAGTCCATAGTGCTTTTTTTCTCGCGCGGCCATTGACATTGTCGACTGGGCATTATTATTATTATTATTATTATTAAATTTTGGGCATTCTGGCTGTTCTGTTCCTACGGATTTTTCCCACTACACGTCTTGATCGGAAACCTCGGCAAATTGCGCGGATCCTGCAGGTTGCTGAGCATTGCGCGCTTTGGTTGAGGCTCATCCGGCTCGTCCAAGATCTCCTTCGCGAGCGACTCCGCAATAAAAGTTTCAGTCTCTTCCTCAACTTTTCGGAGGAGCTCATTCGCATCGCCAATATCGTTCAACAAAGGGGCTTCTTTTCTCCCAGTTCCAGATCAAATGTTGGAGCGCCATGATGACAGTTGTGGTTGCAAACAGTCGCTCTTCTGCTTTAGTTATTTTATTAGTAACCAATGAAACTTGAAAGACCTTGAAGTAGAGTCAGTCCAGTGGCTACTGCCCGGCGACGGCCAGTTGAATCCGTTCCTGCCCGTCGTCAAGTGACGACGGGCAGTGGAATCCGTTCCTGCCCGTCGTCACTTGACGACGGGCAGTGGAATCCGTTCCTGCCCGTCGTCACTTGACGACGGGCAGTGGATCCAGTTCCATCACCTTTGACCAGGCAGGACCGCGCTTTCCAGCCCGCGCTGTTTGATCTGTCATTGGTCAACTCCAAGGCGACAATCACGTGACATACGGGAAAAGCTCGTTTCTTTCGCCCTTTATTGCGTTTTTTGGTGAATATCGCCCTTTTTTGGCTTTTTTTAGCTGAAAAAGTGCTAAAATCTGTTTGCTCATGCATGCATGCGATCAGTTTCTGAGTGCTCGATGGGCCTTGGCACGCAGCATTTGGGGGGGGGGCAACAAATTGGTGACACGCCGGTGTACACAATGCTGTAAAAAGTGGGTTTTTTGAACTTTACTTCCTGTTTTGCCTTTCGTGGACCCATACATGGAAGAGTGCGTATTCATTTCTCAGCATGGGTTCATATCTGAGCATGTATCATGGCTATGCTTAACTGAAAAGAGCACTTTCTGCCTGTTCTCACTGAAAAAAGAGCACTTTTTCAGCATATTTTGAGGGACGCGAAATGCACTAAGTGCGAATTAAAAGAGCACCTTTGGGAAAGGGCTATCCTACCTCCGAAAGGGTGCCAAATTATGCTCCAAATTTTCAACCACCCAATTATATCAATAATTATGCCGGCATAATCCGCCGGTGCCTAGTCCGGACCCTGGGCTTAAGAGACTGGGTCATCCTAATAAAGATATTATTATTATTATTATAATTTTTAAAGTAGCTGTGTATATGTCATCATTTTTCATTACACCAGTAGCACAAAGCTTCCCACAAGGTATCGAGAATGCAGTTTTGTAATTCCTGGTCGCTTCTTTGTACTTCAGGGTTCACAGACTTGTGCCACCACATGTGGGTATGTGACACTTTGTGATATCAAACATGCATGGACATGATCCATACAGTTCTCCATTATAAGCCCTGCGCTTATATTGGAGACTGCGCTTGTATATCTTCGAAGCCCTCTTGGAGTGCGTTTATAATAGAGACTGGGCTTCTACAAGAGACTGCGCTTGTAATAGAGATAATACGGTAACCCCCCAAGAGTGCGCAACTGGACTATAGGTGCTGTCCAGACAGATTTTCGAGTTGACGTCATTTTTATGATGTAATGCGCACTGTATACGGATTGTCAGACGAATCCGTAACCTGTGGTGGACCAAAGCCCATCTGATGCTGTACAAATCAGTGCAAAGAAAAACGTGTGATGCTTGACACCCGTACACATGCATCTCATGTTTGGCATAAAGTGGTCTTTGTAAAAAAATAAAAAAAAATAAAAAACCTTGTTTTAAATCACCGGTGCAAGGAGCATAATGACGTGAACTTGAAATTCTGTCGGGACAGCAGGGTATGTGGGAGTTGCACACTCTTGGGCGGTTATGAACTCTTGATTTTAGTTATGGTCATTATCGCAATCCTGAATCCTGTCGAAACAGACAAATTCGTTCGCCCAAAGTTTGGAAAGTGTTGGCTTGCATAAAATTATTATTATCAAATTTTTGATAGGGCAATCCCCACAGGCCTAAGGCCTTCTTACAGGGTACCCTAGAAATGAAAGTACTGAATTACGGAATAGGTGCAGTGAAGAGCATAAGTAAAACTCATAGCTGTACTGATGAGGCCTATACGGTCGAAACAGCTTGCTGTCTACGGCATTGGTGATAGTAATAATTGTACAGTGGAGATCAGGGAATGTGGAGGAAAGTCAATATGAAGTTATGAACCGATGATAAGTTACTTTGCTATACGTATATCACCCGTGTTTGGCACAGCTGGGGAATTCAATTTTTTGGAGCCTTTTTTCGCCAGATGTCCCTTTTGGTGAATAGTGAGAGTCTGCTCCCAACATTGGAGCTCGCTCTTCCTGCCAAATTAATGACTGACTTGACACTTGACTGACTCACGAGTCACGACTGCGTCTGGAGCACACCAGAAGCCTTCCACTCCGCTAACCTGCAAGAAGGTACCACTAACTGCTCCATACACAGTGCTTCGGGGAATCCACTCCTAGTTAGTTGAGCTCGAGTAGGCTCATGAAATTTCTGCTCCGAGAGCACTACATTCTGTAGTGCCGCAATTTTTTCACAAACCAGTTTTCACGAATTCCCATTGCGTGAATTACATGTAACTACGAGTAGAGTCAAGGAACAGTGCGGATAAAATGCATCACAAAGGTGGTAATCCTTAAAAGCAAGTGATGTATTTAGCGACGAAATAGCATGCAAGAGGGGAGAGAAACAAAAGGAAAAGAAGAAGTTGGTGGAGCCAGAGGTGTCAGTGAACCACTTGACAGCTACTACATTCTTTCTTTAGCTAACATAGTGATGGCTGTGTGGTGTGAATATCGATAGCTTCCAACACTTTCAAAAAAGTGAGACCACATTCAATGCGACGGACCCCACGATAGGCGGTCAGCCTTTCGGTCATCCTAATATAGTTATTGTTATTGTTACAGACGCAGACTCTTGCCTCACTTCCCACCTCCGTTTTTGCTTCGCTCTGTTATCAGTCCTGGTGATGTCCTAGATAGGACGTACTAAGACATCACGGAACCCACCATGCCCCAGCATACATACTATGCTGTTCCCATAGTAATCGTGACACGTGACTCAAAACTTTGTGTCGCGTCCGAGGAAGATGAACATGTCGCACTCAAAACAAACGCAACGAAGGCCTTTCGTCTCAAAAAAAAATTATTAGTTGTCGTTCTCCTGGCGGCTTGCCTCAAGCGAGTCGAGATCCGTATCTTGCCTCTTGCCTTCACGAATTTTATTTTCCTCGTTGTGGAGTACGCCTGGACAAAGGAACTGGCAAGCGAATCGTTTTGGTCACATTGAAAATTGCAAGTGCACAAGAGGATTGGCGAAGCAATTTGTGTTCGCACTTTCAGCAGAGCAGTAGCTGCTGCTGCGATAAAGTTTTTACTTTCGCCATTGGCTTCAGGCAGCAGAAGGATCTGGCTGAAAGCGATGGCGATACGTCCATGACCACCACGTCCTGGGTTGATATCCAAGAAAGACCGTCCAAGGTCCAGTTTTAGCCAAGAGCTGTCGTATCCAAGAAATCAAAAACGCCAACAGCAAGCTTTGGCCAAATAATATCTTCCAGGCCGTAGTTTACGGGCCTAGCACCTGCTGGCTCGTCTTCCTCCTCTGCATGGCCAGGTTTGGGGCGAAATGAACGCACGGGGCGTGAACATGGTGAAGAAACATTCCAAAGGCAAAATATTCAAAATTAGAACCAATCGTTTCCAAAGAAGGGCCGCGTGGCTACGAGAAACCCCACATGAAATCCCCAAACGAAAACGGCCATTCGGTCGGGTATTCGATGGAGAATCGAATAAACACTACCTCAATCCCCACCGATGTCTGATATTCTCCGCCTATTCCCTCAAACTTGACCAATTCGGAAAGAAAACCATCGCCATTACGATCGTGCATCCTCCACATACATTCAGAAATGCTCACGCAGCACTTCTTTTCATCGCGTGTGCGCGACCGACGCTTCCATGACAACTCTGGGACAGGTAACCAATCAGACTCATTCAGAGTGCGATGTCCTAGATAGGACATCTCCCCGACTGGTTATGCGCACCCCGCGCTCCCTGCAACAAGACAGCAACGCCAGTAGGGCCTTGCCTATCAAGATATTAAAATTCTACTAAAAGGGTTGTGAATCGTGCGCTGCAGTCGCATGCAGCTTGCGAGTCCGGAAACCTGTGCACTGCAGCGCAGAATGTGATAGGTAGCTAACATTGCCGGATATCAGAAACCTGCACTGAATCAATGCAATCTGTGACATCGCGAAACGGCGTACGTATTATTATGTGTTAGCATCCCATTGATTGATAATTTTACGGGTACTGAGTGGGTACTGAGTGTCTCAGTCTGGTTCCTCTACTTTTGGAATCACACCTGACTTCATGAATACGCCTGGTATGTTCACTATGTCATAGTATGTTAGGACTCTTTGCTGTTAGAATCCTGTCGCTCATAGCGGGCTGGGTTACCTTCCGTGTTACACAGTTGGTAGCGGTCCGTCCGGATGCATTTGCACCATTTGAAGCAAATTAGCGACGGCTGGCGCGATTAGGCAGTGATTATGATCATGGAGTGAAGAACCGTTATTCTTGAAAAGCAGTGGAATACCCGTGCGTTCAGGTTATGAGTGATCATTGTTACAAGATGCCTCGGAGGGATGTCCTCGTCTATCTTTTGGTTGATATTTTACAAGATTGAGTCTGAGCTACATATCATCTGTGTTAGAAAAGGACGGCTGGATCGTCATTCATGCAGGTACAGTGACTTTCTTTTTTGGAATACAATTATTATAATATTGTGTAAGATATGTTGTGTAGCCATTGAAGATTCTGGTGATTACGATTTTAGGTACTAGCCAACAATGAATTATTGTCCCTCGCGGGTTCATCGCATGCACAATGGACAATGGGACAAGCTATGCACAGCCTTTGTAATTGAATAGCTAAAAATACAGATATTGCCTACATGTAAAGTAAGGATTGGACTTGCACTCGAAACAATGAATGAGCTTTCGAAAATTGTTTCACATGAATGTGGACACCTCTTGAATTGCCGTAAAGAGAGATGCAAGCAATGGGAGTGATGAGTGCGTGGAAAAATAAAGCTATGAGCCAACAACCGCAGTACAATTTCAACCGGGATGCAACATGCTCGCGATTCAGACATTAAAATAACGGTTACTGCCTGTCCCGTGGACGCGTTGCTTGTTATTGCGTGATGCTGCACTTCTTTGGTGTCAGCCTTGACTTCAAGAAAGTGTCACTGAGGTTATTGCTGCTGTTGTGGTTGTATATTTGGACTCAACCTTTTTTTTTATTTCAACCGTCAAAATGACTAGAATACAAAATATAGAAAGTAGTTAGCGAAAATGAATAATTGAACGTACCTCACTTCCACACGCGCCTTTTCCTACTGCGGTCGCATCCGGAAGAGTATACCTCGCATCAAATGAGGGAGGATTAATAGGAAATGGTAGTAGTGCGCTGGTACTTAGAGGCTACAGAGGCATTTATTTTATTTATTTATTTATTTATTTCTGCACCTCGTGGCATGTCAAGACGGCCAATTGAATTGAGGAGAGGGTGAGACTTGTCGGTACCAGGGAGTCGTACCCAAACCAGGTTGGTTACGACACCCTGGTCGGTACAATACTAGTAGAGGTACATCAGGATAATGTTTCCAATGCGACATCGCTCAGGAAATTATGTATCGTGGCTTGCGTGAGACTCGACTCAACTACTCTGGGAACCCTAAGCCCTCTACTTTAAAATGTTTCGTTTTTTTCACTGAATGTCCAAAAAAGAGTCATAACTACTGCATCCTTTGTTCTGGCAAGGCACACGTCGACGAGTTCAGTGTGCCGAATGTTGATCACACATTGTTTCTATCATTGCCGAAGGATAGTTGTTAACTCGCCGGATTTGCTTCTTTGCAGGAAGACTCCTTCTGGAGTGTTCCGTTGAAGATGCATTTTTCTGAGCTAGTCAGAGATGCCGCTTGCCAACTGCGTACTTTTCCGAGCGGGGCAACTGGGCAGTGCAAGTCCAGAGTGAAGCGGCTGTCACGTTCCTATACAGTGTAAAAATGAATCCTTTTTTGGCCAGGCCAGCAGGCTGTCACACTTGGCTTGGCGGTGCAACGGAAGTCTAATAATTATTTTGTAATAGGGCTTGAAAGTGATGACGTCAAAACGGCCAGGGAGTAGTAAGTTGACATCAGATTTCTATTTTTGGATCCACTAAGGTGTGACTTTGCTATTGCCTAAGTATGTGGGTGCATAGCAACCCACTCATGTCGCATGCAGGTGTGACTTTTATTTCGCCACCAGTTGTAACCCCGCCCCCAGTAGCCAAATCGGTCAGTTTCACTGGCTACATCACCATGCTGTGGGTAAGACCGCTTGAAATGTGCTTGGATCCATACAAAAACTGGATCCAAGTGGATCCAGTTTTTGAATTTTTGAAATTGTTGCTATGCTGTGACGTAGCACTTTCAAGCCCTATTGGCGTGTCCGTCATTTAGCTGCCTTTACAAAATTACAGTCCGTATGGAGTTGTAGTCCACACTGGCGCGGCTGTCATTTGGCTTCCTTTGCAGTCAGTATGCACTTGTTCTTGCGTCAGCAATCATCCCCAATGTCGAAGAGAAAAAAATCAGAAATGAAACAGGGTCTTTTTGGCTGGGTCCAAAGCTGGGGTGCTGGCGCTTGCAGAGAATGTTACATTCACGGTGAGCATGGAGAGCATCATACGTGCAAAAGAATGGGGCAACCTCCCGCGACAGCGCGTCCATGCTAGCCTTTTGAGCACGACGCTACCTGAATGCCTCCCCACGGCAACACCTGCAAAAGTGGCGTTTTTCCTATGAAAGTACTACCTGTTCAAGGATCGATAACTTTACCTTCCCTTGGACGAATTCCACGATCTTGAGCTTCCTGGAAAGGTCTTGAGACGAGGAGCAAACTAGTTCCAAACTCAGCTCGGAGCGAAACTAAACGCCCATGCTACAGTCTGGCAAACTTCACCCACGCGCTCGACAGACTTGAGCACGGGCAAGAGACCAAATCCTCAGCTGCCATTTCGCCCTCCTTGCTCGTATCGAGCTCAAATTTTTTTTGAGGACTCCCGAGATCCGCCACCATCATTTGAATCTAGTTTCCACGGCAGCAGGCAGCGCAAAAATGATCGAAAATGATCGAAAATGCAAAATACGCTTTCTGCAGATCGCGCAAAAAAATCTCTTTGAATGTCGAGTCGCATATCTCAACAACCCGGGGTCGTATCGCTTCGGCGATTGTTTCTATCACAAGCTGAGAGTTTTCTCTTCCAGATACATACTTCGATCGTGAGAATCGACCAAGAATTGACTGAGTTACGATAGTTTGAACGCACGCGATCCAGACAAATCGCGTATATGCGCGATGTACACTCAGGACGTAATAATATTACGTCCTCCGTGGTGCAGTGGTATTCTGAATGACGTATTATTACGTCCTTCGTGCTGAACAGGTTAAAGGGAAACTGAACGCCAAAAATAAGTATGGCTTATCCTAAGGAGAATTGGGCACTGATTCCGATGAGCTATGTCTCGAGCCGATCAGAGAAGAGGAACTGTGTCAAATTTCATAAATAACACCTCCCATATTTGGAAATTGGCCTTGATGACGTGCGTACTGCTTAGCTGTCACCATGCTGTGCATGTTCAGCAGTGTAATTGAATGGAAGAAAACAATTACTTTGGTGTTTTGCAGCTCTGTTTCGTTCCCTGACGGTAACCAAATCTAGATGTAGGAATCTGTTGAGCAGGAGAGTGACACATGTCTTCCCGAAGGCTGTCCAGGCTGCAGTGGTGATGAAGAAGACACGATCATCACCCCGAGATCGATCGTAGCGAATTGGAAAACTCATGGTGAATTTGCTTCCACTCCAAGGCAATGTCGAGGTATGAAGGGTGCTTGTACTGCCTTCCAAAGTGAAGAGGAGATGAACATGGCTTTGCATAGCTGTTGTTCTATGCCAACTTACCTACTCTTGCTGGTACCGTAGTGGCATATTGCAAATTTCGTGGACGAACAACTCTAGTCACTAGTGGCTAGTGAGCAACACTAACAGGTGAGATTTTTCAATTCGACAAAAATTGTTTTTGTTTGAGAACTGACAGTGGCAGTCATTAGACTCAGTAGGTGTCTTTGCTGCTTCTTTCCCTTCATTGGTAGGGTTGTGCTTGAATAGTACAAGTGCTTGAAGTAAAATAAAATAAATAGAACATGTGGAACATAAATCTAATCAAGCATCAGTACATGTATTGTGAAGTTCAACTTCAAAGCACATGAAATCACAATGATCACGAAGTTTATGTAATCAGGAGTACACCCTGTGTTTAACGAACACATACACACATGCTGTATTGCACACACACACATGTACACATGTGCGTGCACCCCACCCCATCCCACAGACACACGCAAGCAGCGCACACATCCATACACATGTGCGTGTACCCCCCCCCCCCCCACACACTCCTACCCATACACATGTGCGTGCCCCCCCCCCCAACACACACGTGTGCACATACAGATACACACACACGCACGAACACACACACACAAGATATGTGTAAGTGTACATGGTCTTCCTGGTGCAGATGCTGAGCCAGCACAATGGAAAATACCTCCATCAAGATGCTTGATCAAGTGTTGTGATAATGGCACTGTTTGTTTGTTTTTACAAAGAAGTGCGGGAAAGATTACAATGCATTATAATTCATAATTGTTCTTTGCCTTGTACTGTGCAGACCAGAATGCTTCGCTATCAACTCCTGGCTTTCCATCGGCATGGTGTTCAGCTGCAGCGGCATCTGGTCCGGGGAGTTCAAGTTGCTGGATGGTTGCACTGACACAGGATGGGTTTGCGTTGGCAATGCGATACGGCAGTCATCCCACATCACGAGCTACATGTTTATGTAATTTATATTGTCGCTCGTCCAGCAACGTCAAGGCTCTGCATGTAAACACAGGAGAACACCATAATACTACTCAGGGGATAATAATTTTGGATATAAATTTCGTGACAATTATTAGATTCACACAATGTTCACAACGTATGCAACACGATGCTGTCTATTGACACTACTTCAAACTGAAGTGCTCCCTACTCCTCTCCCGTTTTCATCTCCCTCTACCTTATGAACACTCTGCATTACTGGTTTCGTTTCTACCCTTTCCATTGCTGCCAGCTCCCAGTCTTTTTCAATGCACAGCACCACCTTGACAGTCATTTTTGTGATTTGATGTACACATACTTTGAAGTTCAAATTCGAATTACATGATCAGATTTTCGTTCCACATTTTCTATTTATTTTTACTTCAAGCACAACCCTACCGATGAAGGGAAAGAAGCAGCAGAGAGACACCTACTGAGTCTAATGACTGCCACTGTCAGTTCTCAAACAAAAACAATTTTTGTCGAATTGAAAAATCTCACCTGTTAGTGTTGCTCACTAGCCACTAGTGACTAGAGTTGTTCGTCCACGAAATTTGCAATATGCCACTACGGTACCAGCAAGAGTAGGTAAGTTGGCATAGAACAACAGCTATGCAAAGCCATGTTCATCTCCTCTTCACTTTGGAAGGCAGTAAAAGCACCCTTCATACCTCGACATTGCCTTGGAGTGGAAGCAAATTCACCATGAGTTTTCCAATTCGCTACGATCGATCTCGGGGTGATGATCGTGTCTTCTTCATCACCACTGCAGCCTGGACAGCCTTCGGGAAGACATGTGTCACTCTCCTGCTCAACAGATTCCTACATCTAGATTTGGTTACCGTCAGGGAACGAAACAGAGCTGCAAAACACCAAAGTAATTGTTTTCTTCCATTCAATTACACTGCTGAACATGCACAGCATGGTGACAGCTAAGCAGTACGCACGTCATCAAGGCCAATTTCCAAATATGGGAGGTGTTATTTATGAAATTTGACACAGTTCCTCTTCTCTGATCGGCTCGAGACATAGCTCATCGGAATCAGTGCCCAATTCTCCTTCGGATAAGCCATACTTATTTTTGGCGTTCAGTTTCCCTTTAACGCGGTGCACTTCAGCGCGACCGCCTTAGCGCGAGGCACTTCAGCTCGGTGCCATTTCAGCGCCGTGTCTTACCGTAATAAATTACTACGTGTACGGCATTCTTTATTTTACTCCACCAAGCGAAGAGGCAATGATGCTTTCCCACCAGCCAATGGCTGGCTCTCACAGAATTTTGAAAATTTATGGATGAATTAATGATTACTCAATTATACGGACAGACCTGTTTCGTCCTTTGTGGACTCATCAGCGCAGAACAGAGAAAATTAGGCCGAACCTGATAGCAATGAAAATAAATTTTCCAGATTTAAACAAAGCCCGAACGTACCTCGCCAGAGTGCTCAAACTGACTAGTCACTGGGCTCTGCATAACGCAAACAGCAAAGGCACTACCCCACATGGGAGTGCTCAACTGCTACAAAAGCAGAAGCGAAATTAATGATAATGACGGTGACTTAAAAACCCTAATACTTCAAGAAGTATGTTCTTTCCTCGGCGATGATGGGTTGAATTCTCTCGTGTTGATAAATAATGGTGATACAGACACACCTGGCAATATGGCGGTAACACACACACCTGCCCACACACGCTCTCTAAGCTGCAAAGTTCTGGCTCAGAACTATCCTTCTCACCACCACCACCACCACCACCACCATCAGTTCGCGCCTGGCGCCTAGTCGATGCATGGTTGGCGGTATCCGATAGAGCAGGCTGGTACATCAAGTAGCGCATGGCACATAGAAGATGACACAGCAACGACATAGCTGGATTGCCATGTACGTTTCGTCCCCGCTGGACTCATCAGGCAATCATTTTCTTGGATGTCTTCATACGCAGCTTGACTCGGCAGAATGAAGTTGAAGACACCACTGCTGTCTCGTGCTGTCAAGTTTACATCTATTCGCTCTTGTTTCGCTCCGTAAAGAGCATTCAGGGTTCCCCGTAACACAAGACGGCAACTGCTATAGGGTCGTCCCCTTCAAAATGATTAATTCTACTACAAGGTGTAATGTACAAGTACATGTAGAGAAGAATAATTGAAGAAAAATGAGCCACGAAAGTACTTGATTAAAAATGTCTAGGTTTACTTAACTTAAGTGAATTATGAAGGGGTTGCAATTTAAATTGCAGTTTGTGTTTGCTCCCAGTGGACATACATGTAGTTTGATGCGCTCCCTATGATATCAAGCGAATGGCCGAGGGCCCTCTTGATTGGCGTGAGTGGCCAGTATGATGCAAGCCAGGTATTGATTGATCGAAGAAGGATAGATTTGCCATCACTGTGGATAAGAGTCATACTGTAGCTCAGTTGGTTAGAGCATTGCTCGCGAATAGCAAGGTCCCTGGTTCGAGTCCCAGTGGCGTGACTGATGACTGTTTCTTTCTTTGGTGTCTGGCTTGCAAGTGTTGAGTTTCGGAGAGAAAGGAGCAGTACATGTACGAGGCATGTGGCCTCTAATTTCCTGAAGAGGTTGCATGCATTGTTTGTTTGTTTGTTTGTATTTATTTTGATTCGCAAATTCAAACGGGCATAGACCCCAGTAACATGAAAGCGAATATGAAAATTATAATGAGAATGAGAATTAAAATGCTTAGATCTTCAGCGTAGAGTCAGCGGTACATCAGAGGGAGATCGGGTACAACAGAAAGAGAACAGAAAAAAACAGAAGATTTCGCTTGTCTTCAGCATCTACAGGGCACAGGTATAGGGGGCATCAATCAATTTGTTCGAGGAAACACAGAGGTCAAGTCAGGAACCAATTTCAATAACATGACATTGTACAGTGTCACATGACGATCGTCTCGCCGTATTGCTCATGCCGGCTCTTCAGTTGTGCATTCTTTCAAAGAACTCAGATGGCGAGTCATTAAAAATTGTCACATGGAAAAATGTGGGCAAAAGTTATGCGATCTAGTTTACCAATTAAACCACATTTTGAACAGTCAGACGTGCACAATCTAGCACAAAACTGACAAGGAGTACTGGGAAATTTCACGGCATGAGAGAGGTTGAGCACTGCTCCATAGGGAAAGGCCATGGGTTAGCGCTATCGACCAGTGCTCAAGCTGTATCATGACGTTCATCCTGTGGAATGTCTCTGTACTCCTTGTCAGTTTTCTGCTAGATTGTGCAAGTCTGACTGTTTAAAATCTAGTTTAGTTTGTGAACAATGCGAAAACAATAATAGAACGAAAGAGAAATACCCGTTGGAAAATGAACAATGGGAAAAATGTAAAGTTCGAACTATTTTTCGTACAATACTCACCAGAAATCACCGTTGTACTAAAGAACAAATAAAAAAATGAAATAGCAAGGTAAGGTACGGAGTACGCAATGACAGCTAGGGTCCAGCGGATAATGCTGGACCCTTAGGGACCGGCGGATTCTGCTCGAAACGGTGGCAGATTCTGCTCGAAAAGCAGTGAAATTGGCAGAACCATACAAACCTTATGGCGGGCAATTCCTCGAATTCTGCTCCATTTCTTTATCCACATACCAAACATGCATGAACCTTACCAGAAAAAGTACCGAATTCTGCCAATTTTTCTGCCAGCAGAATCCGCCGGACCCTAGCAGGCATTATATTCGGCATTATGAGACTATCCGAGCATCAGAGCATTATGGAGCATTAGAAAGGAACAAGACGAGCATTATGTGAGGTTTGAGCGGCCTAACGAGTTTCATAGTGGATATTGTCGTGAAATCTCAGGTTTTTGGAAACAATCGGCTAAAGCCATGAGGTGCAACGCCATGTATTGTAATTTGTACCGGCACTTGACTTTGTGATTTTGTAGACACGTAACACCTGTAGCAGGTATGAATATAATGCCGGCATTATCCGCTGCCGCTTTCGTTCGGTTTATGTATCGTTTTCGGGCGTTGTCGTGTAAACAATCGTAGTAAACGCAACGATTTCGTTCCGTTTAGGTCGTACTTCGTTGTCGTGTAAACGCAAATCGTTTTCAATTGTTGTCGTGTAAACGCAGCCTTTGAAATCATGCAGAGCCATGGAGGATACTAGACGTACGCGAAGTGAATATCAAACAGACGAAGAGAAGTTTCCCTGTTCTGCCATAGGCTCTGGCCATAGCATCTATAGCGATACTGAAGTAAAAACTGATCCGTTGATAAATTTGGACCTGGATGAAGGAGCGGCTATAAACAGAAAGAGCTTGTTCCAAATAACTTCCTTTGCCGAGTCCAGCTCAGCAGGCTCGAAAAGAACTAGAATTTCTCAGGGACGCAGTACCAAGTTGAATTGAGGGCTCAGCAGCGCGTGTCTCACTTTCCTGGTGAAAGAACGTACAGATCGCCGTGGACAATTGTAATGCTTGCATTACAAGGCCTACAGTCAAGTGCTATCAGAAAAGAAGAGTATTATGCAATTTGTTCCCAACTATTTGTCTCCACGCAACCCCAGGAGAAGAAGACAGCGCAAGCACAGGATGTGGAACGGCAAAGTAACTTCTGTTGACATGTTTTCAAGATGTCCGGAAATGGGAAGGATCTCGATCTGAGATCGTCTCTCAGGAACTGGCCTCACGTGCGCTGTTTCAGATGAAGACATTCTTTACAGAGTGGAAGCAGTAACTGCTTGTCTGCAGGCAGGAATACAACTTCCCATGATAAGCTTCCAGCATCCAAATGATCACCAGCAATAATGGTTTCACCTCTCACTACATAGATAAGCAAGGGAAAAGATCTGATACATCCACTATTCAGCCACAGCCCTGCATCAAAGCTGCAATGGAGAGCAGCCAATGGAGACGCGATCACGCCTTATAGTGCTAAGAAGTGGTGGAGCTCGTGAGAGATATTGTAGCAGCTTCAAAGTCAGATCGACTAAATGCATCCTTTCCTGGAAGCCTTTGTGTTCGAAACCAAGAGCATTATAGCCCATGTTGAAGCATTTTAAAACAGCTTAAAATCAGCATTACAAGGTAGTTTTGGAGTATTATGATTAGCATTATACGAACATTATTGGAGCATTATCCCCTGGACCCTAATGACAGCACTAGAAATATCAAGGTGTGAATGACGAAAGCGTGCACAAAAGCAAGGGTATGAGAACTAAAATTGCACGTGTGTATTACTATTAGCAAAAAACAATGTGAGAATAAAAAATGAAAGGCACAATCAAATGGCTTGGCCGAAGCGGCAACAAATGTTTTCCATCGTTCTTTCTTCCTACATATATTTCTCTTTCCTTCTACTTCTATGTGTTGTTTTCGCATTGTTTCCATGGCTTGACTTAGAAAAGCACCTCGATATTACTTCAGCTAACATTTGTAGTCCTCTTTGGTGCGATACTAAAATTGTTGTCTCCTCGCCAGTCAACCTGAAAAAAAGACAGCATGAAAACTACTAGGTGACAAAAACGTTGTAAACTAACTTCAATCTGTGATCGGATGGAATGCAACATGGTAAATTAATGAGATCCACAGCTCACTGTTCTATTTCATCAGTCATGTACCTTCGACTGTGGGTTATGTAACTGATCACTGAATATGTTTCAGATCATGACAATGGGGAGACGATTGTTGATGATCATCATCATCTTGGCAGATATCAGCGCATCAGTGCGGGCTACGGATTGCACTTCCTTGACAGATTGTGTGTGTACCGCCACGGAATTCGTCTGCACTATGAAGGCTCTTATGGAGCTTCCTACGGACATTCCAAGTACCGTAACTAAGATGTAAGTTCTATCCAGACACATCATATCTGAAATGTCAATCATCTTCTAGCTAGTCCCGATTGATGAAACTCTGATTATGGTCCGATTTCCTCAATTTTAGAGAATCTCGAACACGATCCTTTCGCTGCAAACGTCCTTTAAAGATACAACGAGAGAGCTTGAAAGCTCAGGGTCCTACGCTATGCTTTTTTCCTTGCTCATCATGAACGTTATTCGAAATGATAGAAATATTTTGCAACACAATGATGCAGTCGATAAAGTAGCCGCATTGATTGAATTACAGGTATGACGATCCTATGCCTACGAACCGCTTTCAGCTGTTTCCTATACTTTCGCAATGTAGGACTCAGTATAAAGTCCATGCACTATAATTATGATGTCCAGCACCCTATATAGAGTCCATTGGTATATGGTCCAAAATCCACTATACAGAGTCCAGGAGTCCACTCTGTTTTGATCAGCTTCATCCTGCCGCGCAATCCCCTATAAGGAGTACACTTTTTCTACAAGTCCCCTATTCACGGTCCAGGAGTCCAGTTTATCCAGTCACGCCGTCCTGTGTGTTGTGCCCGAAAGAGAACAACCACCTTTTCAGTTTTGCTTGCCTCGTGGCAGCGCATTCCTTTCTTCACTTCAGCCATGGCTGCCAGTTCTGCTGACTGAGTGCTGTGCGGTTGCTGACAGTAATCTGGCTCGAGGTAACCAAGGAGGATAAGGAGACGTTCAAAATCAAATCTGGAAAGCGTCTTGTGGTTCTCCGAGTCTGAAGACGTTTCATCAGTGCGCGGGATGAAAGCAGAAATTGCAGAACGGCAAAAGTTCAGCACAGTTCAAATCTGACGAGTCAGGTACACTGACACTCTCTTTCGTTCGACGCCACAAGGATCCCCTGTTTGGCTGGCCATTGCTGCCAGTAAGACGTTTGAACGGTTTCATCAGAGCGAGGGATGAAGGCAGAAAGTGGACAACGAATTTCGAGGAAAGTTCAGCACAGTTCCAATCTGACGAGTCAGATACACTGACACTCTCTTTCGTTCGACGCCACAAGGATACCCTGCTTGACTGGACAAGAGCTGCCTGTACCACCGTGTCAAAAGGCTGTCCAACTACATGGCAGGACGATTACTGAGGTAAGGAAGCCTTTACTCGTTTCGATTGGTCTGCTGTTCTGTCGTTATGCTTGAATTTTTTTCCATTTTCAAGGAGCGTATCGCGTTTCTTTGATGTTGCTTGAATGAATGCCCTAAAGGTAATCAACCACTTCGTAATAGTCCTCAAGGACTGCAAGGACTTTGCATCAATCGTATACGATCGTCTCGTCTAGCTATCATCAATTATTATTTTATTTCATGAGACATGTATTTTTATCCCTGTGATAATTATGTGAACTCCACGACACTCTTCCTCTACTAGGCTCTAGTATGCTGTCGAGTACAATGGGATCCACAAACGCAGTGCCAGTGTACTAGTAGTAGTAGGAGGAGGATTTCTTGAATGCCGATGACAAGAAAAAGCTTCTCAAGCTAATACATGTACTCGTATTCCATGAAGTAACCGTTTTGATGTAACAAACATGACATTTAGTTTGTGGGCCAAGTGGCAAAAATGTGAATTTTCGTTCCGAGGAAGAGGGCACCGCAATTTTTTTCACCCAGCCGATAGATGGGCTGGCATACATTGAAAAACCACTTGTTGTCATTCCTGATTTTTTCCAAGGGTTGCACTGGGAGTAAAACTAAATTCAGCGCTGGCTGCTATGGTAACCGGAACCTAAAATGGACTTTCTGTCTAATTGTAATGGTTTTTTTGGCAATATAACTTTTCTCGAGGATCATGTAAACAGAATGTTTCCTTCCTGGATCTCACTGGAAGGCTAAAAACATGATTTGAACTTGAAAAACTCAAAACTGAGCAAACTGCACCATACATGTACATGCACATGTACATGCACTACATGTACATGTGCAATACAGTCTGTCAATAGCATGAGACCGTACACAATAACTATTTTGAAGTATAAAGGAATCATTGCATGCCATTTCATCAGAACATGACTGGCTGCAGCATGAAGCAGCCACTTTTCTGATCACTTTGTCTGATCTAATAATGTCTCAGACGGATCCATGCAACGTACAGAATATTCAGAATATGCCGCCGCATTGCGCATTGTATATTGGTTGCAGATTGTCCACAGAAAGAAACATAACACTGAACGTCTGCACAAGTCGCTGCAAACCAGATAGACAACCCATAAAGAATGATCAACAACACAAAAACATACCAGTCTGGACATACCTGTACATGTATTGCTAATAAAGTACATACACTGGCAGACCAGAGTTGAAAGACCGTGTGATCCAAGAAGACCATGCTGACCGTTGTGGCTTCATCAGCATAACTCTGGCTTATGACATCTCCTTCATAACACCAATGTGTGGCATTATCCAGATGAAATGAAGCAGTTTAGAGTGATGGTGAACATTGTGTGCGGATGAAGGCGCGTCGCTGGCATAGGTCAGGGGGGCACGTGCACCTCCCTAACAATTTCGACCTTGGTTCAGCATGAAACGTTATGACCATGAAAGACATGGACCAGCCAGCCTACACATACATTGAATGCGGCCATGCATCCCCTAAAAGGGGGACCAGCTATGCCCCTGAATCCTGTCCACATAATTGGTTGCAGGGAAAGCAGGTGGAGCGGATCACGACAGTAGGATAAAAACTGGGAAGACATTGGTAGGTACATTGTACAACAGTTGAGCGCTTTCGCCTTGATGGAATGAAGGCTGACACAGCTGCAGGAGACACTGCTGAGTTGTGAACATGTGCACGTTGAGATGGCTGCACAAGTATGCCATTTGCACAGAGGGTTGTGACTTCTCCCAATTATGTTTCTTCGCACAGATCATCGCCGATCACGAATCCCATGGGAAGAGACGCTGCAGTTGCTTGCTGATTATTGGCTTGGCATCCAGCCAACGCAGTTTTGAGCTCTAAATCTGTATGCATGCAGCACCGTGGCCAAGGTGGTTCACCATACTGATACTGGTATAAAGTTTTGAACTTTGAAACACATGGTGCAAAGCAACAATTGCGGCATGAGTAATGTGCTTCGGGGCTGCACTGCAGTACAGCCGCACATGAAAACTAATCTTCCCCAAGCGAGCAGGTCTGACGGTGCAACTTTGGACTAGTGTGACACTGTCATCTGTCTCTGTAGCCTGAGTTGCATCGCCGATTGTAAGTGCTTAATCCTCCTCTATATCCTCCTCCCCTCGTCGTGATGGCTGGCGAGTTGATGAAAAGGCGAAGAAAGTGCTTACAAATGAGTTACAATGCATCGCTGCATAGACACACTCAGATTCAAGAGTCGTATCGGCCTAACGAAGATGATTTCATCCTCAAAGTAGTCAAGCCCATACTGAGGCATTTGTTGCAGTACACCGTTCCAGCGTTGAAGCTCTCGTACAGATTGCGATAATAGTTATACTGCGTATGATGAGACGAGAGATCGGCCAATGGCAACTTGGTCATTTCGTCTTTTCTCATATTTGGTGCTTGCAAGAACTTGGCAGAAGCATGTATTCATACTTGCTTGTTGATCGGACTGCGTTCTACCGGTATGATTGCTGCCGTTTCACCTTTCCCCAAATGTGCAGCTCTTCGTGCTGGGAGCTAAGGTTACGACGGGAGCAGCTAGAGAAGAGCGTGTGCGGGGGCGACGCGAAAGCCTCCATCTCCAGGCGAAACATCACTTCCACAAGGCTCCCTGCGCTCAGCTTAATTATCTACAGCAACAGCTTCATTTGTTCCTAATTATTTCACGCAATGCTCCACATCAGTATCTGGGTGAAGGGCTCCAACTCCTCATCACGACGCTTTATTGCTACTTGCCCACAGACTTGCAAAGATTCACTTCAAATTAAATATTACCTCAAGACGTACAGACAGTAGCCCAGTACACACCAATGTCAGAACTACACAGCATGTACACAGCATGTACACAGCATCCTTTGGAATAATGGGGAAACGGAAAGCAAGAAAAAATCCAGAAATGGAAGGACGTGGAGATGACTCAACAATAAAATAATTGCAACAAACTGGGTGACCTGTCAGTGTCGGTGTCACGCGATCAGTTCTCAAACCTGGATCGAACAGCTGATATGCATGCATGCAAACAGTGCAAGCTACACTCGATGCGTGCATTGCACGTAAAGGCACATCGATCTATGCAGGAGTGCATGCATGTATACCTACATACATGTAGGTATACATGCATGCATGCATACAAAACAATGGTCAAAGTGACAACAACTGGAATCCTGGTCAGTAAGGTATCTAGAGTAGACGTGGCCAATAAAATTGCGGTGCCCAAAAGTCGGAACGAGATTTTTCTAGGAGGCCTTTTTTCAGGTTTGGCCCATGGACTAATTGTGTCAGCGAAACTGCCTCGTGACAACAAATCATTGCATTTCCATCTTGGGGAAGACTGACTGACGGCAACGCTGTACAGATTGTTCAAATCATCTCATTTCAAGTTAGTTACAGTGAAGTGAAACACTGTGTACACTACATGTCTGGTGGTGTGTCTGTGCGTCTTGAGTGTGCACAAACGATTTTATTCCTCGTATTACTAATAGATTATTGTCCCCACCGTCACCTGCTCACAGGTCTTTGAGTGGATGGATTTTCATTGAGCATCACATTCGTTGAGAACTTGGTAGTTGTGTGCTCCCATGCATCATTACGGTAATAAGCATGTCATTGTGCTATTATTTTATTTTGTTGCAGGTGTGCTGATCTTCAGAAGCTTGCGGAACTGAGTGCTGCTAAACATTTGCATGGCCATGAGCAATGGTGAAGCTTGCTATTGCACTCTCAGCATGTGGTAGTACTATGCTGACTACTGCACTATGTTACTCTCTTACACTACTACATGTATGTAAACGTGCGTGCAGCTGCCCACGTATGCATTCGTTTCGTATAATTATTTGTTA